AGTAGACACAACCAGAATGTGAAGCAGATAATATATAACGAGGATGCATGGTATGCAGTCAAAAGCATCCAATCTCTGGGTGGCTACAGACTGTATACATTCTGTCAAGGATGTCTACAGAACCGAGAACATTTCCATGTAAACACACAATGCTGTGCTGTGTATCACGGGCATTTTTAGCTTGTTTTTTGAAGAAATATAAACGTCTGTGGGCAGCTGAATTGTAGCAAGAGCGTTTGACCTTGAAATCATACTCTGCTACGATATTTGCACTCCAGTTTTCACCAAAACCAAACCTTAAATAGAAAGAGGATATAAAACCTCCTCTTTGAGACGTCTTGCTGTTTGCCTCCCAGGCTGATGTGTCTTCACTGATTATATGGGGCCCCACAGCATTTGCACAAGTTCAATAATTTACCCAGAGTAAACAGTCTTTTGTCCAGCATCATGCTTCACTGGGAAAGCACAATATCCACCATCAACACATGCACACAACACAAAATCCCCACTACCACAAAATGATGTCTTTCTGTCAACTTCATGCTCTCGTCTGTCAAACTAAAAGTGTATGACAACATGTGTCTGTGAATGTAAAATAAAAACAATCTCCTCTGAGCTGACATGAGGGGGAGCACATAATTGGAGGAGTTACTGTAGCTGTAAGGGGGATTGAGGAAGGATTATGGAAAGGTAGGGAGGGCTGGGAAGGAGGGGGAGGCAGGGAGGGGGTAATCTGTAATTAGTTTGTAATTGCATCTTAGATGGTTCGAATTGCCTTTGTGCCATGATCCATGACTGACAGAGGGCATGAAGAAACTTAGTCACATAGAGTTTTTGCATAAACATGGAAAGAACCCATGACATATGACAAGAGAGCCATTAAGATCCATCACTTTACAGCTGCTTTTAAGCTTCCATAATAATTAACAAGACTGCGTGATGGATTTTGTTCACTCCATTTACTTACTCACCTTTTCATTTTAGAGTAGACACTCTGGAGCGCTGTATGTGTTGTGACAACAAGGTCAAAATCTTTCACGCAATGTCGCAGCCTTCCCTGAATTGTTGGGAACAAGCTAACGCAACCCAAGCCTGATGTTGGAATTATAAAGTTTATTTGTTGTAATATCATGTTCTTTACATAACCTTGACTATACTCTTGTTGAGAAAAACACATTAATTTGTGAATTATTGCATTTCATTTACTCGTTGTTGTAAAGTTGTAACTAGACTCAAACCGCTCGCTGCAGCCTTCAGTTCATACACAAATAAGCTGCCCGTCATCCTTGCTTTATAATGTGTTTTTTAAGATTTAAGGCAGGTTTTGAAAACAATTATAACAGCATAACTTACAATAATTATGTCTGTACTGGAGTAGCAGCGCAAATGTATCTTTTTTTCCAACAAGCTTATTGGTCGTTATGCTGAATGTGACTGTGAGCTACACAGTGTACTGTATATCCAGTCTGGCTCCTGCCTGAGAAGTGCGCAGTCTAAGATTAATATCACCAAATGAATGCTGGAACATACTGCAAACAAGTATGACAGACAGCTGTCTGTGTCCTTAAAAAGGGGAACAGTCGCATGATGCTGGAGTCAACCTCAGACATTTGTCAGGGAATCAAAATGAATAAAGGTTTGTATTAACCGCGCAATCACCAACAGGAAAACACTTGTAACCTTTATGGTGGTGCCACGGGGGATGTTGTTAACATACAAGGCATTCATTGGAGCCTCAAGAGCGTCTGTAGAAAAACATTTTCCCCTAATGAAAATGACAAAAGTGTTAGACGTGTACAGTGAGGTGCTGTTTTAGAAGCTGCTTTATGGCCTCCCTTGAGTTTTACATGAGACATGGTGGCTAGGCTGCACAATGAAATAATGAACAGATACTGGGACTGCATTTAAACTGAAACTTTGCCAAGACAAGAGTGGAGCTTTCACTCCTGTCCTCATAAATCTATCACTGGATCTATTAAATGATCCTAAAACGGGCACAGGCGTTTTGTTTGTTTTTTGCTGTAGGTTACAGTAGTTGATGATGCTCGCAAGTAGCAATTTGAGAGCGGCATAAATTGGGGATTTTATGGACTCAGGTCTGCATGGTTTTATTGCAAGAGTGTAAATAAGTATGGCAATGTTTCCAATGCTACATTCTTCACAGGGTCACAGTGGTGAAACACGCCACATCCCAAATATTAATCTGTGTATGAATTAATTCCTGATGAGCTTTGGGAGAGCCAGAGGTGCATGGACAAAATCATGTGTTGTCATCAGGTTTTCACCAATAAAATAATAAAAAATAGCATTAAGAAGAATTAACATACTCTCTGCCAGCTCGGCAGTCACTGCAAAAAGATATTTGTTAGGGAGAAAAATCCCGCTTATGGTGAAATTCCACACGTGCTCTAAATCAAACATTTAAAAGGTAATCCACAGATGCAGCGGATACTATACAGGCAGTACTTTGTACTTAACAAAAGCCTGAACATAATGCAACCCTGCAAGATCCTATCACATATTATCCTGCTATTGTACTCTACAGAACCAGTACACAATACCTGACATACTTTCATCTGCTCTTTATTTCTTTCATGTGTGTGCACGCAAGCATGCACATGTCTTTACGAATTAGAAGATGCACTATATTATACTGAGCATATATATATATATATATATATATATGCTCAGTATGATGTCCTATAGACAATATTATGCTGAAATCAATACTTTTTGACTTTACACACAAGTTAGCAAGGTATTTGGCAGGTAGTATTTTCCATACAGACTTGGTTTTGCTAATTGTGAGTCAGCTCCACAAATCTGCCAGTGGTTAGCTTGGAATGTTAGCTGATAAAGGGACAACTACAATTCAAAAGAAAGACCTCTCAGCATTGGATTTATTCCCAAAAACCACATGACCTCCATGAATCAAGTGCACAAATGAACCTCTATATGCAGGATTATATGGAGGCTATTATACAGAACCAGTGAGGGCTCATAACTACCCATAGATCAGTCTAATGCTTTACTTTCTACATTCTGATCCAAGCACTGAGCGGAAATATCATTCCAGATTCTCACTCATTTGTTAGTAACTAAGCAGTTTATCCCTAATAGTAAAATGTGAAACAGACTTGTATTGCCATCACAGTGTGAAGGCGCTGAAGCAAGAAGCAGCCTGTATCACACTTTATCAGCAGCCAAACTGAATTCGAACAACTTCATGCAGTCATTCTCTTATTTACTTCACTGCAACTCCAATCAGTAAATAAATCCTATCAATAGATAAATAGACATACTCAATCTCCACTCGATATGCAGCTGCAATAACGATCAAAAACATCCATCAAAGTGCACTCAAGACATCTCTGTTATCTCCACACAGGACACTTAGACACTCGACCGGTGCAACAATTTGCCAGAGCTTTATTTATCCCAGCTGCATTCCTAATACTATAGATTTCTAAACAGTTTTTAAAAAGAATATCTGAAATCTATTTACTGAGGTTCTGCTTCCACCTTGTTTCAGGCGCTTAGGGGCTTCCTGCGTGTTGCTGCACGTACATTATATAACTATTTCACAGCTCACTTTAAATGTCAGTAAATAACATGCAGCTCTGTGCTGATCCCAAAGCTTCCAAAGATACCAAATATGTCAGGCAGAATAATGATGATTTCGATGCAAAAAAAAAAAAATGTTTTGAGTGTGAATGCCAAAAACGTCTTGTACATTCCTGACAGTAAAAGTGTGCTCTGAAGTACAACAAGATAAATCACTCAAAGTGGAAAAGGCGGCACTCCATGAAGGCATGTTTGTGAGTATTTAATTATAATTCCAGGGCTGGATCGAGCTCCTACAGCCACACAGTAAAGAATATGATGATTTTAATGAGCCTGAAGCAAGTTACAGGGAATTAAATTTTGAAATAGTAGAAAGGGAGCCTTTTTTTTTTTTTTTGGGTATGCAGAAAGAACATCAACTCCAGCCTATTTCAACACAGCTATTAGAGTCAATTTAATACTTAAGACTTATATAAGGAAAATGAACATGTGTTAGAAGACATGAGACAAGTACAGCTGAAACAACCAGTGCCACCTTAAAGTGATTTTTCATATTTGTTTAATTTACAAAAAATCAACATCATAATGATTTTTAAACAAATGTAATGAGCAATTATACATAGACAGCATTTTAACAGAGCATTTTATGGTGTGGCATGTATACTTTCACATAATAGATCTTCCTATTTCTATTACTTTGGACTTGAATTAAAAAGAAACTAAGTAACTTCAGTAAAGAAAGACACCTTGTAGTAAAAGTCAGTAGGTGTACTTACTAACTGACAACTTGTGTAATGTGAAACTGTATATGAATGGTGGGAGGAGCCAGAGATGCTGATCATACCAGCACCACAAACTGTATAAATGATGGGAGCAGCTTGCTGATTTAAAAAGAGAAGCCAAACCAGAATACCTCCATTCTCTCTAAAGGTCATCAGGGGGCGGCTCCTCTGACTACAAAAAAAACACTTCCTGTTGTATAGACATCTATTTGAAATTGGCTCTCAGCTCCCTTGCTTTGTGACCTCAGTAAGCACTGTTGACTTCACTGGCTCATTCACCACTTTCAGTTCATAATAAAAACTTGACATGCTAATCGTTAGGCTCAGAAGGAGAATCATCTAGGGCTTGTGGTTTGCTCAGTTTCACAGTTTGACAGTAACCACTGTCACGTCACATCCAGCTTAAAAAACACCAAGAAGGTGACAGTGAAAATGCTCAGCTCAAGGCTTCATAACCAATGGGTGACCTCACTGTGGCTACGTCCATGTTATTTATGGTCAACACTAGAGAGTGAGCCATTAATGAAGCTGTAAAGAGGTGAGCATGCAGAGCAAAAATATAACTTGCAGGGAAAAAATACTAAAACATTTTAAACATTATTTTTCTAGCAAAATGTTTCTATCAAAATTTTACTGAAGCAATAAGAAAGAACAAAGTGTTGATCACAGATTACATACAATTTTTTTATATAGAGACAATTCACAACGTCTTCAGACACTTTATCAAACCTATGAGAAGCATTTGCAGTGGTGTGGAAAAAAAACTCCCTTTTAACAAGAAGAAATCTCCAAAAGAAGCAGGCACAAGGAGGGGCAGCAGTCTGCTGTGGTTGAATGTGCGGTGAGGTAAAAGAGAAGAGAAAAAAGGAGAGTATAGGGAGACTAAAACAAAAGAACTATAACAGAGAGAAGACAAAATTTAATGGCATGTAAAAGTGGCAGATTAACACACAGGGAATAAGAAGAAGGGGTGAAGGAGAAGTGTTCAGTGCTTCATGTGATTAATCTACATGCTCAGCAATCACCCAAATGAAAATAACAGGGAGGACAGGACTCCCGGAGTCATTCCCCGTGTTGGAGCAGAGCTAGTGGATATGTGATAGAAACTTCAACACGCTGTGGACATCCAGAGGGACAATGTGAGGGTCTGAAAGACAGAGAGAAAAATTCATGTTGATATTTAAAGAACCAGGTCCAAGAACAGGGTCAAAGATCAGTGGACAATCACAGCAATGCTGAAATTGTGAATGAAATGATTTTGACAGCGTGTGAAAGGGAAAGTGATGATGCACTGAAAACAGCTGGATAAGGGCAGAATCTTCCTGCCTGAACGTCTGCTTTGTGGTAGAGGTCAGACACAGGCCAGAGAGCATGCACAACCGGACTGATATACTCAACATGTCACATCAGGCACAGGTGAACCCCGAGACAAAAGGACAGGGAGGAATTCTGAATTGGAAAGTGAGCAGGAAAGAGAGGGAGATTGAGAGAAAGCCCTATTTTTCTTTCCATGGTTTCCATAAAGGCAAGCTCTCTGATTGCCTGTGTCAAAGTGACAGAGTCTTTTATGAGCACTTGGCGGGTCCCCGCCCTGGTTTGTATTGCTGGGCAGTGATAGCAGTGGCCATTGTTGGACTAAGGAGAGAGGAGCGGCCCCGTGCTATTGAGAGGGGAGGAGCCCAGCCCCACTTGCCCGTCCGAGGCAGTGTGTTGGTTGAATAGGCAGCTAAGGTGTCCATGCCCCCCAGTGCCCTTCAGTGTGGGAAAGCCAGTGCAGAAAGCACCTGCAGCACCTTGACAGCAGCTGACACAGGATTGCGTGCTAGTTCTGGACGCACAGGCCACGTGACCTGACACTCCATGCTGACGGGTACACTAGGAGTGTCACACTCCCATGCCGTGTTAACATCTCTGGTCAGAGATCAAACGGATCAAGTTCACACACACCATAACATAGGATACACACTGCATTGTGCATGCTCATAGAGATATAGTATAGAATACACCAGCAGTGTAACCAGACACTCTTTGTGGTACAGTAGATATACAATTGCTCTTATACAATTATTGCAGTGCACATGTATACAAGTTATCCAGGAACAAATTACAGCACATAATGCGGCACGCTTCAAAGCCACTCAGAAAAATGTGCTTGAAATGGTGCTAAAAAGGCTTTTGTTTTTAAAAAATGAATAGAAGAGACACATGCAAGGACAACATTCACAACCATGACACTAAAGTTGGAGGAAGCCGTGAACACTCCTAACGACAGAGTTCCTGGAGTTGATTGGGTGATTTTATTGAAAGTAAATTGGGTGATTTACTGTAACCATAGCCTGCTCAGAGGAGGATTTCTACCAATTAACTCATTAAATAGGGAGCAGTGAATGAGTATAGCTAGAGTGAAAATATCCTACATACCTAACATTTCTAAACTATCTGACAATATGAGAGTCAACGCAGGCAGTAAAATAAAAGTGACTCAAGGAACTTTAGTCACTGTCCGTGGAAACATCAGCTGGATGGGACTGCTTTGGGAAAGTAACACAAGAGATGATGTCGTTTTCCAAATGTAATCATTTCTGTCGAATGTACGGCCTTCATCTAGGCTCAGAATCACCAACAATATTTTATACTGATTTCAGTCAGAGCGTCAGTCATTCTCAGTCATGTGTTCCCTGTAAGGTTTCTGTACTGCAGACTTGACATTCTTCACATTCCTCCCTACGATGCACAAATGGGACCTCACAGAAAGGCAGAAAGACCGTAAACCAAGACGACATTCCTTTCAGCTGCACTTGATACTGTAGGTAAGCACTGCAGGAGAAAAGATGGCCATCTTGAAGGCAGTGTTGCATAATCTTTTAAAGAAAAAAAATGTCAGTATTACAGTTCACAGGTGTGCAAAGCACGAGAGAAAAAAAATAAGAGAAGGTACAAGCAACTTTTCTTATTTTGAAAATATACTAGGTAAAGTTAATCTGTACTAATTTGGCCGTGCATATTTGGATATTTTAGAAACAAGGAGTTCACAATAAGGAGATGATGACACATGTAATGAAAAAAAACAACTAAATAATTAATTAGTAGATCACCTTCAATCACTTATTTTAACTCATTCAGATCTGGAATACTCATTTTTTCTCAACACTTTGAGAAGGAAGAAAAAGGAAGAAAAACATCTGACAATAAATCTGTGCTGCTAAAATAAATGCATGACTTAATTTAAAATGTAACATCTTCACATTTTCCTATATGTGCTTATTTAGCACAAAACTCAACACTAATCCTACCTCTAACCTTGAGAAAGTTGTTTAAGGTCATATTTAAAGAGAAATCAGCCTCTCCCCCCAGGTGTCCTTTGGCACATCTGTTTAGTTAGTTAGCCATCTTTCAGTGACAACCTTTTTCTACTTTTTCTACTTTTCTATTCCAAAAAAAGGCCTTGTATTGGTATGCTTGTGTTGAGGACCATAGGCAGAGCCTGATGAAGCTCTCTCCAGTAATGTTGCCTTCATGCCCAGATCACTCTTGAAAAGCAGGGTTTGTTTGTTTTTATTTCAGTGAGACTTTTAGCTGGAGAAATAAAGGATCCATTATATATTATTTATTCTGAAAGTGTTCACATACCCAGAGAGTAAGATGGCAGATTGAGAGCAATGCTCCTCCAGCATAAAGGTTTACCATTATCATGGCATGCTTTCATGTGAGGGGTAATAGAGAACTGAGCAATGTTTTCCCACAAAAACATTGTCCATGCTTTTGTGCTTCTCCACTGAACTGGATAACTGGTATCTGCCATCTCTCCCATCTTTTCTTTATTTGTTGTGTAGTGTTTAGACTATGGATGCCGCTCCTCTTTACCATGCGTCTCAGATGGGTCTTTGAAAAGTTCCTTATCGATGTATTATTGTAGGGTCTTTACCTTTTAAAATACAGTAACGCACCTTGAGGTGACTGTTGTTGGGATTGTATGATGTAATTAAAACAAAATTCAATTTCATTGGTTCACTGACTTCTCTGATTTCTCTCCTTTTCCCTGTAGTAACTTTACATTTTGATAAGTTTTTTTTAGAGAATTTGTCTTATTTCCTGTATGATATTTAACCATTAATCGCTGTTAGAGGGAAACCCCTGCAAATGTTGGCAAAATGGACAAAAAAAAAATCAGCTGACATTTCTGAAATCTCTCTTTTATGTAGGATTAATATTATCAGTCATTCTTTCTAAGAGATGACTCCTGATTGGTCGCCGCTGTTTCCTGGGACAACAAGCGGCAAAGCCATTTGACACATGACAAGCAGCTTGAACTAACTTGTTTTCTGATGGGAGGGGGGACTCAACTGGGTTCACGGCAGTGTGGCTGTTGTTCCAGCACAGAAGGATTACAATTAACCAGCCACTCCTGTTGGGCTTAATGACCGAGCACGGCAAAAGCCAGCAGCAGGGACACTTCCTGAACAGCGCCGGGTTAGCCCTAATTGGTTCTGGCACAGCAATCCTCACTGCTTATCTCATAGCCAGCTGAGAAAAATCAGCAGTGAAGTGTGAATCAAAACATGTTGATTGCAGGAAATTCAGCAGCATACCTGATGAAAAGGCTTCTTTTTATGGCATCATGAATAGTCACACTTCCTCAGTTTTGTTTTTTCAGACTGCTGCATTCCGATTGTGTGTTTATGTATAATTATTATTTACATGAAGTATGGAGAATTTATTTTAGATATGTACTGTAGAGGGCTTTAGAAACAAATAAAGCCATAAATAGCATATGACAGGGACTCCCGGAGTCATTATTATAATATAATAGGGACCCTGTCAACACATGTCCAAGCTCAGAGTCAAATGGGGCTGGGGGGCTTTGGATGGGAGGTCCAGGGGATTTGGGTAAACCATCTGTTGACCAAAGCTTTTGGGAAAGAGCACTAATATGGATTTAGGATATTATTCTCTCTGCAGGTGGGATGGTTAAAAACCCCTGTGGATTTCTCTGTGAGGAGGGGGGGAGCCTTAAGAATAAAAAAAAAAAGATTTCAAAAGAAGGACAAGGCAGCATAAGACCAGACAAAGGCACTGCATTACTGAGGTTTTCCTTAAACCCTACAACATGCTGGAAGCGGAGTCAAGTAAGAGCTAGATCAAATGGGATGGAACAAAAAAAATGGAAGAACAATAAAATACTTCACTGCAAATATTTGATTATTTTTGAGGTGAAGTTTCTTTCCTACTTTCAAATCCTGGCCAGAATAGCAGCAGCAACATTTGGAGCATCTGGGTGGATACCCATATAAGCCAAGACCTTGGACTTTGGTAAACCCAGAGACCCTAGTGTTGGGTCAGGATCTCTTTGGTTCACTTGCCGCCTGGGGTTATTCCAAACGCATCCGTCTTTACTGGGCTTAACTGTGATTTGCCCCCTTTTGCTTACTTGTTTGTTTATCAGGATTGAACTCCAGAGCTTTAAGCTGCCAGGTGCTTTCACTCTATCTCCGGCAGGAAAGATGCACAGCTGCTCGCATCTGCATCGAGATAGCAGCAACAGGACTGTACTTCCTGTGGCTACAAATAGGCCGGATGGCTGTTACAAGTTTAAATATAATCATAATCTCCTTAAACTCCCAGACTCCCAGTAAACTGGCTTCCATGTGACTCTAAATATTACTTCTTTCTGCAACCTGCAGCTTCTAGCCTATGTCAAAACAAATCATTAATGGTATTTGCTACAAATGCTTAACTGAAGACTTAACAAACTGTAAGCCTTGAGGGGAAAAAAGGATTTTCGAGTCACGTAACGCCCAGTAACAAAACATGACTTATAGAGCAAGGTTGAATTCAAGATGAAAATGTGAAATATCTTCAAGATTGTGCCATATGGTCTGTTTTTTTCCTGACACTAATATTAGACACTGAGCTGAACAAGATTGCCAAGCTATAGCATGTACCATCATGCTATAGCTCAACATTAAAGCAAAACACTTCTAAGAATTCAAATCACCAAAGAAAAAAAAAAAGGTGGTGATAATGTGAAGCTCTTTCCCAGCTCTCAGTCAGTAAATTACAGCTTCACTCTAATCCAGCTCTGATCCCATCTCTCCCTCCCTGGCATCCTCCCTCCCACCACTCCATTCCCCAATCTGAGATACTGAG